CCCTAAACCCTAAACCCTTACTACAAGACTGTACTCTTTGTAGAGCTCCAGGATCCTTCAACTTTTGGGTTCTTGCCACGGACAGGAGTCTCAATTTCCACACAAGGGAAGACACGTATGGGAGTTTGAGTTTCTGAAAATAAGGGGTACCTCAATTTGGGGTCCTCATACTAAGGATCCTGCTATTTAGGGTACTATAATAGGGTCCTCTATGTTCGGAAACCCCCCATATTCTTGATTATATATCCCTAGTCTAGGTACTTAAGCCTTCTGATCCTTAAATCAGGGTTGGAGAAACCGCATGAAACCATACAAAACGCTTGCGCGGCCCCTTATAAGATGCTTCTGCAACCTGTCAGAGATTCTATAAAGATCATTAGCCAGCCCACGGCCCTAAACGCTTCCGGTGCGATAGCTTTCGCAATCCACCAGCCACGTCTCAAGGACGCTGTGGCCTTTGCTTACATGGACGGTCGCGCGAAAAAAGAGTCTTTGCAAAACCTGCAAACCTCTGTACGTTATGTAGTCCGTAGAAAAACCTTTTAAAGGCCGAAGCCCTGTAGAAGCCTTACAATATTAAGCTCTATGAAACTCTGACCCGAAACTCTAAGACAAAAGCACGAAAGCATCCAAGTGTTCTGCTCTCGATCTTCCAGCCCTAGTATAGAAGCCTGGTGTTTTTTGCATGCTGTAAGGGGTCTATCAGGGTTCTGTAAGGGTTGAGGGATCTGGAAGGGTTCCATAAGTGCTTGTGGGTATAGGGTTTACTATAGAAGCATGAATAACTGACAAAATTCCGTAGGGTTCCTCGTTATACCTATACTATGATATATCCCAAACCTGACTCTAATTTCCCTACATAGGGGCTTCTGCACGAAGCCCCTGCAGCCCTCAAGCATTTTTGTCTGGTCTCTTGCTTGAAAGTTCAGGCAAGTAAGGTGTGTTACAAGTTGTAAGGGTAGGAAGAAGTGGCACACCAAGAACTCTAGTTCTAGCTATCTTGCTAAGCTTAATCCGTTAAGCAAGCCCTTGATAAACTCAATCGTCTCGTATGTTGGACTGTTAACAGGTCGAATCTCAAGCCGGGCACGTTTCGAGAGGGTTCAGCGTTTCGAGCTTTGAGAGTTGTAGAGTTGTGGGTTTAGGAGTTTTTGTCATCGTTTCCGGGTTTAGGGTTTATGGCATGAAATCTGAGACCACAAAAACCCAAACGCCGAGCCGTAAATCCCACTTTCGGCTTCGTTGCATGTGGCAGCTTTGTTTGCAAGGCTGATTTCACGGACTATTTGCAAAGTGGCTCAACCCTAGACTTTATGCGCTAACTCCTGAAGCGCAGACCCTGAACCTTTAAGCCCCACGTTCAACCGAATCCCGTCGAACTCTGTTCCATCTCAGAACCCTGCAAAGCCCTGTACGGCTTACCCACGGTTTAGGGTTTAGGGGTTTAGGGGTTTAGGGTTTAGGAATTGTACTGGGTCCTTGTTGGATACAGATTTACATTTTGGTTATAATAAGCCCTAATAAGAATTAAAAATGATCATGTTTAATATAACCCCAACAAGGTACCAGTTTGGGGTTGTAAGATGTTTACAGCCATCATTGAAAACCCGAAGCCAGCGGCGCCGGCAACCTCCATTCTCGCAGCTCTTGTCTCCTCTGCCGAAGTAAATCCTGTGATTCTAGTATAGGATTTGGGGTCTTGGGTTCACGGTGTGGGGCATAGGCCGTCTGCATGTTGTATTTGCATGGAATCTTTCTTGAATTGCAGTTAACATGCTGACATACATGCCCTCAAAGATGTGTCCTTTAAACCCTAAACCTGGGACCCTAAACTCGAAACCCTAAACCCGAAACCCTAAACCGCATAAGGGTTTTCGGTCCGCAGCCCAAAACCCAAACAGGTTTGAGACAAATGAGTCCCAGACACCCTAACCCTGAACTTCGGAGGCAGTTGTTTAGGGTTTAGGGGTTTAGGGTTTTTTAAGTTGTATGGAGGCCTGACAATTTGGATCTTGGGGGCACAGTGCATCGCGCTTAGGCTTGCATGGACTTTAGGCGGAGACTGTTCTTGATTATCCTGGCCTTACCCAGAACCCCAAACCCCAAACCCT